GTGGTGTAATGATTGCTTTCTTGAATTCAGTAGGGTACACGCCATTTTCCACGCATCTGTTGAGAATATGAGTTAGAGGTTCTGTAATGTAATGTGATATAAGTTTTATGTTTTCCGCTTTTAAATTATCACACCCCGTTGCCTTATTATTCTTGAGCTCAGATATCGTACTTTTTATTTCGCTTGAAGTAATTGGTTCAAAAACGAATGAATTCAGAAAAGGTAATCTTTTTATTTCGAATTTCATGTTGTTTTTTATTTTTCTAGCAAGATTTCTGCCAGTTTCTGCGAATGCTGCATTAAATGTATCAGCAATTTGCGTTTTATCTGTTAATATTTCATCATTAAGAGGATTTTTTATTTTATCAATGATATGTTTGTGTTTCTTAGTATTTGATATTTGTTTAGTTATGTCCCATAGGATTTTTGAATTACCCTGATTATCATCGATTCGTTTTTTATAAAAACGGAATTTTGTCTTGTGAATCAATGAAGTTAGCCTGTTTCGATAAACTTTGTATTCGTTTTTCAGATCATCATTTTGTGGTTGCTTCTGCATACCGCGAAACATTTTATTTTTTTTGTTGATAGAATTGAGTAGTCCCTTTGTAACCCAAGGTGCTATTCTAGTGTTTTTTCTGCGAATTTGGCGTCTCTCAGTGCAATATTCCAGACTATTCATGGTAATGTTGATGAATTTTTGTGTTGCAGAATCTGGAGTTGGGGCCGAGTATACATCATCCCAGCAAACATGTTTGAATATGCTATGTATCTTCTCAGCATTTATACATTCAATGAAAGAATTGCTATTTACTTTGATGTTTTTCTCTTCAGTGAATACGATCTGGAGTATAGTAGTGTAGTGATCTGTAATTGTTGTCTTCAGTATGATAGGAATAATATTTTCGTTCAAATCAGGATTTTTTGATCTGATAAAGATGTGATCCAGACATGTTTCACTGACACCTTGCACCCTAGTTGACGCGTTTATCGTAGAGATGTACCCAAATTCATTCAAGATATTCAGATATTCAACAGTATCATTATCATCAGGATTCAACAAGTCAATATTGATATCACCCAAAAACAAAGAAACATCCGTGTTATCATGATGGTTTTCAAAATAGTTCAATAGGTTTATATTGAATTCTTTTTTACTAGCGTTAGGTGATCTATATAAGGCTGTTATGAGAAAAGTATTTTTTATGCCAATATTGAATTCGATTTGCAGCGCCTTCAGCTCATCAGACAATTGTATAGATTTAAAGGTGAAATTATGGCAAGATTTGATATACGCAACTAATCCATCATTCTGGTTGTTGCGACTTTCATTGTATATCATTGTATATCCATCAATGCAAAAAATGCTCGTATCAATTATCTCTCTAGTTTCACTCAAGATTAAACAATCAATATCGGAATTCAGATTTTCTAACATGATTAAGAATTCATCCAAATTTTTATTGATGCTACGAATATTCATCTGTAAGATCTTAAAGTTTTCAGTTTTATTTATATCGAGTATTCGGCTGCATTCTTCCGTGGTGTCAATGCTGTATGTCTCAACTTGATCTATTTTGAAATCCCGTATGTATTGATCCATTATATTAAATATAAAAAAAAATGATATGAAACTATACAGGGAACAAAAACAATTTTGGAAGTAGAACTGCAAATACTAATGAAAAAATAATACTATAGCTACATAAAATTATAACAAATAGTGTAAAATGAGGAGAATTTATGATTTTGTACTCAATTTTCTTCGGTTTTGTTGGTCGTTTGAACCTTGACGAGTGACTGGTTTATTTTGATTCTTCAAGTAACCTTCAGATGTATTGTTCAATGTACTCTTGCTAGACTTCTGAACTATGGAATTTTCTTGCACAGTGTTCTCTTCTTTCCTAGTTTTTGGGGTTGCAGGACAACTATTTGCTTTAATTGTTATTTCCTGTTCTTCGTCTTTTTGGATCAAATCGGCAACCTCATATGCTTTCCCGTTCACGAATAACTTGTTACTTTTTATGTAACAATCGTTTGCAGAGTCCAATTTTGCAAGTAGAAGGTGTTTTCTCAATATGTTCGATACTTCCCTCTGTTGTTGTGTTTGATCAGGTTTTATATTTATATTTGTTCCTTTAAGATGTCTGCAGTTCTTTAAAATATTCGATTTCATCCAATATGTCACGAACTCAATTTTGAGTGGACTTGTTGGATCTTTACCTAACGTATAGAAGTTATTTATATCTCTGGGCTCGATTTGTACTTTCAGCAGAACTCCAAGTTGGTGACAGATGTTTTCTATAGTAAGATTTTCTTTTTTGTTATCTAATCCAAAAACAACAATATTATTTTTCTTACTTTCTTCTTTCAACCTTTCTACTTCTTCTTTCAGGAGCTTGTTTTCTTTTTCTAATTCTTGCACGTTATTTTTCAATGATACAATATTCATAAGTAGCCTTGCTTCCGATGCCTCAACTGAGTTTTGAATGTCAGTTCTATTCTTCAATATTTCAGCGAATATGGTTTCTAAAGTGATTGATTCACTCATCTTCATGCGTTGAACAAGTTTTGGTGAATTATCAATTGTCGGTAAATCTAAGACGATAACCAATAAATGGAGATTGTTCTACTGTTTTCAGTGTATGTACCGCTTTAGTTCTAGAGATGATCAGTCCACAAAAAACGTTTGTTTTGGTTCCGGCACTCCACAGATCTACTTCGTTTCTCATTCAGTTATCCTAATAGTGAATCTTATTTCGAACTTAGACTCACCCAAACAGCTATTTACACTATAGTAAACTAGAATGTGTTCTTTAAACTTTACTTTTCACTTTTATTCCATCATATTTCACAAAATTTCATAGAGACTGTCAAGACTACATGTGTATTATAAAGCAAACCATACACGATTGTATGTGACATGTTTTGAAGAGAGAGAAAATTTCAATACATGCACCTAGAAAAGACCAATGTGATACTTGTTGTGAATTCAAAGTCGGTACTGTAGATTTAAAAACTTACCAGAAGCATGTGAAATTGGAGGATCTAGGAATTTTCTTCGAAAGCAATTCTTCGAAAACATTTCTTCGAAAACAATCCTTCGAAAAACAATTCTTCGAAAATGCAATTCTTCGAATACCATATTCTTCGAATAAACAATTCTTCGACTAATAATTCTTCGACAGGTTATAAGGTCATTTTGTTTTTTGAGAATACCTATAATTGTGGGGTTATTAGGAACTGGGAATAAAACACTACTTTTTTCATTTGTTATAATTATGTCAACATTTTATTAATGAATTACAGTGAAAGTTTACAGTACAGTAGAAGGTCACAGTAAAAACTACAGATAAATGACATAAATACTATCAAATACCAAGGTAATAAAAAAATTATAGATTAATATGATATGTTGTGAGCTAAACCTCTAATGTATCCTATTATATTATTTTTATCATACTGATTTACAAGAGTCTTGATTCGTTGATTACAATCTTTGTACTTCTTTCTTGGTGTTTGTGGTTCAAATCCGCTTAAATATTGTTCTACACGAAGTTCATTTAGACTTTGCTCATTTTTTATACATTTTATAAATTTCCACAAGTTGGGGTGAACTGCTGATACTTGTGTTTCAAAACTTCGATGCCATCCTTCTACCGAATTATTTGTTCTCGGTAAATCATCCAAAACTGTTTGATATAGATTCCACAATTCGTATGGATATTGTGGTGGTTTTCGCTGTTTCCGATTTGGTCGCCCAATCCACGTATCTTCAAAATAGTTAATAACACTTTCGGCTTCTGACGGAAATATTTCACTTTCATATAATTGTTCAAAAGCCATAACTATATCATCCACTGGGACAAAAGCAATAGCACACAACATTTTTAGTTTGAAAGCAAATTCACTGTCAGTCTCATAGCGTTTTTTCAATCCATTCCTTTGAATCATTCGAAAAATGCATTGACTGAAGTGGAAAAAACAGCCTCTTTTTCTACAACTTGGAAAAGCACTATTGCAGGCATTGATCAATGCTTTTTCGAAGTCAGTGGTAATCGTTGCAGGCACTAAAGATGATTTCAAATTTTTAAGTTCTTGAAAAAATTGATCATAAATTCGTTCTGATTTTTTTGGTAAGAGTGCATAAACTAAAGGTACCGATAAATTGTGTTGCAGTCCGTGAACGGTTAGTAATTGTTGGAATAATAACAACATTATAGGGATTCCCTTTCGTGCGCTCCAATCGATAAAAAAAAAATATGTGCCATCAATATACCAATGCTAACTGTTAGACAATAATTGGAGATTTTGTTCTGTAGTAAAAATTAATATTCTCTTGTCCACTGGACCGGCATCATATAGCAAAAAAATTTCATTTTTGTAAGTTTTCGTATATTCCTCCAAAAATATTATTTCGCTTCTATTAGTAGGAAGAGCTGGCCCTTGTAGATTTTTTGCCTGATATTGCGAATACTCCGTTTCATACTGCTAACACTTGGAAGCTTGGGAGCTGCCGTTATGGAACATGTAGTCGAAGCAATTGATATAATTCTGTGCGGAGGATCATTACTCATTTTCGAGTTGATTCGAATTTTTTCGTACACTTTGGCTTCCACCTCTGAGGCGTCAGCTATATGATTATGTTCTTTTGTTATTTTACTGATTTTATCTTCGACAGTAATTATTCTCGCTGGACAGTTTGTTTTTCTTTTTTCAAAAAATGCGCACTTCCAATACACTTTTTCCCTTTTTTCAACATCTTTAAAATAAAAATGTCCCTCGAACAACAATTTACGTTTTCCTTTTTCTGAACAAACAAATTCTGCATCCATATTTACTTGCACAGGGTTAAATTAAAACTAATTTTATTTTATGGAACACAATCCCTTTTATACCCACTCAGGATTTATATCTCTGAACAAAGTCAGTCCTTTTGGATACTTCGGAGAATTGTTATTCGAAGAATTATTAGTCGAAGAATTGTTCATTGGAAGAATATGGTATTCGAAGAATTGCATTCTCGAAGAATTGTTTTTCGAAGAATTGTTTTCGAAGAATTGCTTTCGAAGAATTTTCCGGATACCGAAATTGAAGTACGACTCGAGAAGGCAAAAAATATCGCCAAAGAGAGCTGTGGTGATGCAAAGCTAGTAATTACTATGGAGTTGCAAAGTGTTCTCATTTGTCCTAAAACACTAGCATCGGCAATGTACTATAAACAGAAACTCCAAGTTCACAATTTCACAATTTATGAGCTGAATGATGGAAAAGTCACGCTATATGTCTGGAACGAAGCTTCTGGTGGTGTAACGAGCAACGAGTTCACATCGTGTTTGATCGATTACATCCAAAACTTACCTCCTAATTACGAATTCCTAGTACTAATTTCAGATGGATGTAACTACCTGAACAGAAATAAAATTCTCTCTAGTGCTTTGAGTAATATTGCCAAAACTGAATCATCAATTATACAGCAGCTTTATCTAGAAAAAGGTCACACGATGATGGAGGCTGATAGTGTCCATTCAACACTCGAGCAATATTTCAAGCCTCCAATAAACTCACCTTCTGACTATATTGCTCGAATGCGTCTCGCAAGACCGAAGCAGCCTTACAATATAAAAGTATTAGGTTTCACTTTTTCCCGTAAATATGATGAACTGAAGTCGAATATTCCATCTTTGAGACCTGGTAAGATGGCTGGAGATCCAACTGTGACCGATGACAATCAATTGAGGTGAGACGATTATAATAATCATTACTCCTCATACTCAAATTCATAAACCCTTTGTTACCCCATATTCCACATACATCAAACGTAAACAGACAAATCAATTTTGTTGTGTATAACTCTACAGTGTAGCTGGAGTAATAACTAAAAAACTCGTAGGTTCTTCAGAGATGTTTAATAACCAACTTAAGCGGTGAAACAATACAAGACCGACTAAACTAAACATGTCATCTTTTAGATGAGCGACTACTATGTATAATAATTATTCCAATACATTACATATAGGGTGATAATAAGTACCAACACAATATTTCCTCCCTTACATAATATAAGAAAAATACCTAGAAACCTAAACGCTGAGGAGGCTTAGAAACACGAGTACTTCGTCTCAAACTTACATGTATATCGTTACTTTCAGCCTGAGGTATCTGAGAATCAGTATTATGCTGATCCGGCTGTGATTCTGGTTGCAACAACGGTCGCATTTCAGAATTTTCACGTACGTCAGGGGAAGGCACAGAAGACTCAGTAATAGAGGTACTGGGTGGTGTTTCATGTAACAATGGAACTGGGAATACATTCTTTGGCAATTCATGATTTGAGGTATATTTTCTCAGACTATTAACATGCTTATACATAATTTTTCCCTCCACATTTACTAAATATGTGACAGCACTTATTACTTTTACTATCACTCCTTCCTTCCATTTCTCATTTACATATGGACCTAATTTTCCAACTAAAACTTTTTCTCCAACCGACAACACATTAGGTAGTGCAATATCAAATGAATTTTTGAATACAATAGCGCTATTTTTTTTTGGTGTTAATAAATCTGATCTTGTTCTGGGCTTTATTTTAAAAATGATTTCATTAGGACTCAAACCCGTATTGGTAGACGGTGTATTCCTATAACTGAATAAGAAATTAGTGATTTGTTGTTCTACAGTTAATGACGATTTTTGCAATAAAAACTTATTCAAAGATGATTTTACAGTTTGCACATGCCTTTCTGCCGTTCCATTCGATTGTGGGTGATAAGGAGGAGATTTTAATACATTAATTCCATTTACTTGACAAAATTTTGTGAATTCTGTGGAATTGAATGGAGGACCGTTATCACTCACAATAACCTCTGGTAAACCTATCATGGAGAATGTAATTTTTAATTTCTCTACTGTTTGTGAAAGATTCAAACCTTTTGACATACAATGAATATCCATCCACTTAGATTTACTATCAACAATCAGTAAATATGCTATGCCACTTCGATAGAAGAAGTCAACATGAACCCTCTGAAATGCATTTTCAGTTTTGGGCCATGATACGAGATATTTTTCGGAATTGTTCTGATTCAATTGACATATTCGACAATTAGTTATCATTGTCTCGATATCGTTCTGTAACCCTGGCCACCAAATTATCGACCTTGCTAACATTTTTGTTCTCACCATGCCAATATGATTTTCATGAATCAATTCTAAAACATTTTTGCGCAAGGCTTCTGGTATTACCACCTTACAACCTATCATCAAACAACCTTCTTCTATTGACAGTTCATTCCTCTTAACATAATATGGTTTGAGTTTAGCATCATTCAATTTATCAGGCCAACCTCTTTGGACCATGTCCTTAACTTTGACCAAAATAAAGTCTTTGCCAGCAACTTTTCGGATGTCTTCAACACATAAGGGAAGCTCATTTGATAAATTGAATGAATTGATTGAGCTATCTATTTCTGTTGACCCTGGTGAAGGTAACCTAGACAACATATCTGCTTCATACAATTGTGAACCCTTTCTATATTCGATTTTATAATCATATGCTGACAATATTACATTCCATCGAATTATTCTAGAGGCTGACATGAAAGAAAAATTTCTATCTGGATTGAAGATGACTTTTAGTGGTTGATGATCGGACACCAAAATGAAAGTTCGACCATATATATACTTATGAAATTTTTTTACGCCATAAATAATTGCTGAGGCATCCCGTTCAAGCTGAGAATGATTTTGTTCTGCTTTTGATAAAGTACAGGACGCGAACATCACAGGCCTTTCCACTCCATTGATCCTGTGACTCAATACACTGCCTACTCCATATGAACTCGAGTCACATGAAATGACTATTACTTTATTTGGATCATAATGAACTAGAATCTGGTTTTGAACTATCAAATCTTTACTTAATTTGAAAGCTTTACGACACTCTTCATCAAAATTATATTCAACATCTTTCTCAAGAAGTCTATATAATGGTCTTATTCGTGACGATAACATGGGTACGAATTTACCATAGTAGTTGAGTAGTCCTAAATATGCACGTAGCTGTGTGGTATTTTCTGGGCTTGGTGCTTCTGTTAAAGCACGTAACTTTTCTTTAGTAGGATGTATTCCTTCACTATCTATCCTATCTCCCAAATATTCAACATTTTGTTCGAAAAATTTACACTTTCCCAAATTAATTTTTACATTGTATCTACTTAGCCTGACTAGTACTTCCTCAAATGCCTTCTGACATTCTTTAAAAGAACTACCTCCTATGAGAATATCATCTAAATAACAATGTACTTTTGGCAAGCCACTTAAAATTTGATCCATTATTGACTGGAATATAGCTGGTGCTGAGGATATGCCATAAGTCAATCTGGTAAATTGAAACAAACCAATATGAGTAATTATTGTTAAATACTTCTGGAAATCTTCGTGAACCTTCACTTGTTGATATCCCCCGGTCAAATCTAAATGTAAAGACACTACACCCTGCTAAACCGGCAAATATATCCTCCGGTGTGGGTAAGGGATATTGATCAACGTTCAAAGCTTTATTAACGGTTAGCCGGAAATCCGTACAAATACGCACATCATTATTTTTTTTAGGAACAATCACAATGGGTGATGCCCATTCACTTGTTCTGACAGATTTCAAAATACCCACAGAAACCATTTGTTTGAGCTTAGATTCCACACGCGGTTCCAATGCATATGGCATTGAATATGCCTTTTTCATGACAGGAACTACGTTGTCTTTAATATGGAATTTAATCTCAAATTCGTTTATGGAGCTACATAAATCTTGATCAAGAACGTTTTTATACTTACATTTGAGATCATTCACAATGGCCATCAGATCGTTCAACTGATTTACAGAATTACCTACTTCAAAATAACTTTGCCAACCAGGATACAGAACATTGAGCCAATTTCGTCCCAGCAACGGCATAAAATCTTTTTGAGAATCTATAATGGTTAATAATAATGAATGTTTCTTATCATTATCTATTACCTCTACACAGCTTTCGCCGATAGCTTTGATATTGTGACCTGAAACAGCATTTAACTTATAATTGACAGGTTTTATAGGCGAATCCACATCCTTCTTATATCTATGAATTGACATAACAGATTTACAGGCCCCTGTATCTACCTCAAATGCTATATACTTGTCACCAATTTTCAGACACACCCTATATGGAGATACCTCATTGCTATACACTTGATTCAAAGCTAGTAAATCACTATTGACTTCATCGTATCCATCATCACTTGTACCAGCTGACTGACAGTTGTCTTCTTCAATGACACCTACGGCTGCTTTCGACGGACATAATCTGGTTACATGACCAAATTTCGAACACGCATAACATCGCCACCTTGCTGCTGGACACTTCTTCTCTTTCAGATGATTCCTGCCGCATTTGCTACATGTTGTATCCACCTCTGCTTTGACTACTGCATCCGGCTGATACTTAATCCTTTGTCTGTAACTTTGGTTCTTAGTCACATGTTGTTTATGTTTTTGAACGAAATTGATAGGACTAGCATTTGCTAACATTTTTACTTGCTTGTCAGCTAACTCACATCCTTGTGCTAATGAGCAAGCTCGAGGAAACGTTAACACTGCTTCTGAGAGTAGCCTCTTTTGGATATTTTCGGAATTGACACCACAGACGAATCTATCACGCAATGCTTCATCTAAGAACTGGCCAAAATTGCACGTACTAGCTAATTTTCTCAGTTCGACGATGTACTCTGCTATGCTTTGGTCTAATCGTTGATTACATCGGTTGAACACGAATCGTTCACTAATCTCGGATACTGGTGGAGCATAGTGCTTCCTCAAAAGGTCTGTCATCTGCACATAGGTCAATTCTGCGGGTTTTCTTGGAGCTACCAAATTCTTCATGGTATTATATACACTAGATCCAGCAAGAGTGATTAACATTGACACTTTCTTGGCATCTGGTACTTCATTCACGTCGAATAGATGTTCTATTCTCTCGAGATATGATTCAAATTCTTCCGCCTGCCCTTTGAAAGCTTCAATACTCCCGATCATTGCCATTTTATTTTTAATTACGAAAAATGACTTTTCTTTACAAAAAGAAATGTCACCACCACTGTCAACAACGGCAAAACCAAAATTCACCTTGTCAACTGACTTCACTGAGTTCGATATTATTGTCCTGAAAACACTCCGCTTACTGATATATCAATATCTCTATCCCATCTTCGTCGCCAAATGTTGTGTATAACTCTACAGTGTAGCTGGAGTAATAACTAAACTCGTAGGTTCTTCAGAGATGTTTAATAACCAACTTAAGCGGTGAAACAATACAAGACCGACTAAACTAAACATGTCATCTTTTAGATAGGCGACTACTATGTATAATAATTATTCCAATACATTACATATAGGGTGATAATAAGTACCAACACAATAAATTCATCTTGAGTTGATCAGTTTCATGACTTTTGTAGGTACTCACCATCCGGCGATATCGAATATCAGCTCGATTATGCTGATGATTGGAGTCCACTTCCTCACAGAAAGAAACAAACTGCTCTTACAGCTATACCATAAGCAAGTTCCTATATCTAAGTCTGAATTCAAGCATCTACAAGAACTCAAATCGGTGATAAAAAAGGATCATCATGCATTTTTTGATAGGAGAGATTTTCAGTTGAATAATATATGTGTTCAAATTTGGGGTTCTGATTTAATAGACATGAAATACATGTCATGTGTAGGTTTCGAATCAGGTAACATCTGCTATGTGTTATTGTCAAGAGCAAAATCATTTCCATATTGAATGATCTTTGCCAATGAAGTTTATAAATGTACTATTAGTTGATGATAAATGAAATCATTTTCTGTGAATACAATAATGATAGGTCAAACAAACATTTGAATAGAATATTTTCATTGTCTCCTGTAAAATTGTATTCAAAGCACATAGCAGACATTTCATAATCAACGACGAATTTGGTAGGTAGGTACCTACCTACCCTACATTGGAAAATGACAACATACAGGGTGACATCTCGAAAACTTCTCACCCTCAATATCTTCTCTTCAGTAAATAATATGATGATAAATCGAGAAGACAGGTCAATTTTATTTTCGAGGGAGACAATCAAGATGGTCAGTTTTAGCACGATTGATTCAACCGCCTAGGTGAGGTAGATGTTACCCTTAGAATCTTAAATGGAAAGGGGGATCAAATGGCACATCTTTTTGAAGGGCGAATAATTCTCATTCCAACAGTACTACATTATCACATTATCACATTTTCACAGTTTCAGAAAAATGTCGTTCCAAGCTCACAGAAGTAATAAAAGGATGCATTTACTGGGATGGATGCATGGTTTTCAGATTAGTATCATTGTATTGACTATTCTTTCAGTTCTTAATCTTGCAACATTTCGAACATCTCTCTCAGCATCTCAATTCAGGCACGTTCTGATTACTTCTATTAGTTTAGAAGGGTATTTTTCTGGAACCGCTCTTTGAAGAATGATGACCTAAGGGTATTGATAGAAAGAGAATTGAACGCCCTCCAAAATGATGAGCATCTTGACTCCCCATTTCATATGAGGTTCTAAGGGTAAAATATACCTATCCTAGGGGGTTGAACCAATAGACCCAGGCAACCAGAAGACGTTTCAGTGCCGTCTTTTTACGGCAGTTGAATGACCAGGGTGACGTCATGAGTTGACGTCGTATGACGTGAATAAGTCACAGTCCAATGAAGTCATACTACTCACGATTATTGACGTCATTCGCTCACCAAACTATGTCGTCGGACTGACGTCAAAATTAGATGGGAAGTTAATGTCACGAATCAGTCTGCATGTTTACTGTCAACCCTCATTTGTTTTTGCCCCTTGGGTATCCGTGATTATTTTGAAAGATATTAGGGTTGTCGATTAATTTGTACAGCCTTTTTATAAACATTTCAAATACAAAATGTTCACATTGAATGAAAGTTTTCAAATATGCATATTATCATTTATAATGTTTCATCTTGTTGAAAATATGGTTTGAGAAATTTTAATGTTTGGCTGGATATCGTTGCAACAAACATACAGTTGGTGATTTCCTAAAAAAAATAAAATCCAAGTTAATTGCACATATATGCTTGAATTTGAACAAAGGTATAATCAACTGATTTCGTTATGGTTAACTTATGAGAATGTTCAGGGTGAATATGAAAATACAAATTGGGAAATTATTAACGAAAAAAAATGAGGAAATATAAAATGTCTCAGGAGGCCATGTTTTGGTATTTAGTCATAACTTTCGATTGTGAACAACTTTTCTCAATAACATTCTGCTGGATTCTCTAGAATAAGGGTACTTCACTCCTGAACAATTTTTATATTTTTTGACCTACCATGTATGCTGTTTGACT